CTTGTGATCCACCCGCCTCAGCCTCCCAAAGTGCTGGGATTACAGGCATGAGTCACTGCGCCCAGCCAAGCTAAGATTTAAGACAAACCGAGAGAAGAAAAGTTTACCTCTCCTTCTCTCCCTGCCTTTCTTCTTTTCATCATTCTTGAATTTCCGTCTGTTCATTCTTCCTTCTCTCCTTCTTTCTCTCCTGAACTTCCTTCTGTTCATTCTTCCTTCTCTCCTTCTCTGTTTCTATCATTTCTTCTTCCCTTCCATCTTTCATTCTATTAATGCATCCTTTCTTTCTTGCTGACTTCCTTCCTTTCATTTTACCTTCTATCATTTATTTATCCTTCCTCTTCCTTCTCTCACTTCTTTCCTTCTTTTCAACCATCCATCCATTTGTCCATCCATCCATCCGTCCATCCATCCACCCATCCATCCATCCATTCATTTATCCATCCATCTATCCATCCATCCACCTACCCACTCATCTGTCCATCCATCCATCCATCCACCTACCCATTAATCCATCCATCCATCCATCCACCCACCCATCCGTTCATCCATCTGTCCATCCATCCATTCATCCATTCACTCACTCACCCAACCATCTGTTCATCCATCCATCCATCCACCCATTCATCCACCCACCCATCCACCCATCCATCCATCATCTATCTTTCCTTCCTTACACCTCTCTTTTCTTCCTTCCATCCACTTATCCACCTTTCCTCCTCCTTTTCTTCTTTCATCCATTTTTTTATTTCTTCAATCCACTCATCCATCCTCTCTCCCTTCCTCCTTCCATTCATCACTTCTTCCTTCCATCTATCCACCTTGCCTTCCTTCCATATATATGGAATTTGTCCTACACTTCTCCAGGAACATTTGAAGGGGAGCAGGGGGGTGGGGTAAAGAAATATTCTGGCCCTTCAATAGCCCCACCTACCATTGTCCCACCAATGCCTCCTATTGGCTGAACCTAACAGGCAGCTATTTAGCATGGGAACCTGGGAAATGAAGTTTTCATGAGTCAGAACTCTATCCCACAGAGCACAGGAAGGTTGGAGAATGGATCCGAGGACAAAAACAAAACAAAACCAAACAAAAACCCACAATAGGTATAATAGAGAAAGCCCATAAGAAGTTACATTCCTATAAAAGAGAAGCAGACAACAGAATATAAACCAATAAGTTCAAAAAAGTGAGAGAAGTATTGTGAAGGATTAACAGAAAACAAACAAACAAACAAACCAAAAAACCCAGGATCTCATTTGGAAGTATAAGTGAGACAAATTCGTGTAAGAAATTGACTTTTCCTTCACAGTCCACAGATTGAACAGACAACCCACAGAGTGGGAGAAAATCTTCACAATCTATATATCCAACAAAGGACTAATATCTAGAATCTACAACGAACTCAAACAAAATAGCAAGAAAAAAACAAACAATCCCATCAAAAAGTGGGCTAAGGACATGAATAGACAATTCTTGAAAGAAGATACACAAATGGCCAATGAACATATGAAAAAATGTTCAACATCACTAATGACCAGGGAAATGAAAAATCAAAACCATAATGTGATACCACCTTACTTCTACAAGAATTGCCATAATCAAAAAATAAAAAAATAATAGATGTGGTTCTGGGGGCCAAGACGGTCAACTAGAAGCAGAGTGCTTGGAGGCTCCCATTGAAAAAAACCACAGTAAGTGTGTGAATCCTTCCCTGGCAACCAAGATATCCAGGTTCCCTCATCAAAATTGACTAGAAGACTGGCAGTGACCCATGAAGAGAAGGAAGAGCAGTGTGGTGTGGTGGCCCACCTGAGAGACACAAGGGGAAGGGGAACCCCTTCCCCCTAGCCAAGGGAGGTGGTGAGTGAGCGGGGTATCCAATGTGGAGAAACTGTGCTTTTTCCACGGAACTGTGCGACCCACAGATTGGAAGATCCCATTCGCGAACCCATGCCACTGGGACCTAGTGTCCCAACCCCAGAACGCGCAGACTCTTACAGCTGGAATCTACCTAAGCCTACGGAACTCCCTGGGGGAGGGGCGACCAGCACTGGCTGCAGCTGCCTGCTAAGTCTTTTGAGTTCCTTGGAGGAGGGGCAACAGCCAGCACTGGGACTCACAACTGCCTAACACGCTAAGCTCCCTGGGTGGGGGAAGGGCAGCACCCCTTTCTGTAGCTCCAGGCTGTGCTTTTTCCCTGCTGGAGCCAGTAAGGCTGAATGGCTTCGTCCCAAGGTTTGTCCCCACAGTCCAACACACTGGCTGTGGCAGTCTGCAGCCAAAGTGACTCTTCAGGGCTTACCCTTACCCAACCTTCCTCAGTGGGCAGGGCTTTCCTGTAGGATCTCCAATAATTCCAGCCAGAGGCTCAGGGACAGAATTCAGACTCCCTGGGCTTGAGCCCCTAGTGGGAGGGGTGGCTGCAGTCTCTGCAGACCAGCAGAGTTAGCCTCTCCTCCTGGTAGTTCTGAGGAATTCAGGCAGCCCAGATGTGTGGGTTTCCCCCCAGTGAAGCACCCCCTCTCCACCAGGGACAAAGGGCTTCATTAAATGGGTCCTGTTCCCCATGCCAGTCAACTGGGTGAGACCCTCCAACAATAGTTGTCAGACACCCTATACAGGAGCGATCCTCCTGGCATCAGGTTGGTGCCCCTCAAGATCAGAGGTCCCAGAAGAAGCAGGCACCTATCTTTGCTGCTCTCCAGCCTCCCTGTGTGACATCTCCAGGCATGGGAGTGAATCAGATGAATAGGACCTGAAGTGAACCCCTAGCAAACTGCAGCAGCCCTACAGAAGAGGGACCTGACTATTGACAGAAAAACAAGCAGAAAGTGACAACAACAGCATCAACAACAACTATAACAACAAAAAGTCCTCCACAAAAACCCCTCCAAGGATCAGCATCCTCAAAGCCTGAAACTAAAACTCACAAAGATAAGAAAGAATCAACAAAAATATGCTGAAAACCCAAAAGACCAGAGTGCCTCTTCTCCTCCAAATGACCACAACATCTCTCCATTAAGGGTGCAGAACTGGATGAAGGATCAGATGGATGAATTGACAGAAATAGGCTTCAGAAGATGGACAACAAAAAAGTACAATGAGCTAAGGGAGCATGTCCTAATGCAATGCAAAGAAGTCAAGAACCTTGATGAAAGGTTAAAGGAATTGCTAACTAGAATAAACAGTTTAGAGAGGAACATAGATGGAGCTGAAAAACAGCACAAAAACTTCGTGAAGCATACACAAGTATCAACAGCCAAATCGATCAAGTGGAAGAAAGGATATCAGCAATGACCAAGCTGAGCCTGAGTTGAGCCTTCTAGGAAAACTAAAGAGTCAACTACACATCATCAAGGAACCTAACTCTCTCGAATTCAGCCCCATAATCCTGAGTCAGCTCCAACTGGATTGGTAGCAACCGATTTTTTTTTTTTTTGGATAACCATTCTGAAGCTATTTTGAACTGAGAGAAAATGAACGCTATTATCAATTGGTGATGTCTGCCATGAATGCTGCAATCAATTAATGATGTCTGTCATGGATGAGGGAGTGCAGCAGATGCCATATAGTTTTCCAGTGTAAACTCTGGCAGACACTAAAGTTGAACCAAGGCAGAAGAGGAAATTTTCCATACATTATAAGAAAGCATACTTCATTCTTTCCTTCCCCGGGAAAATCCATGTTTTCCTGTAGATCTAAATCTGTCAATCTACCATGTACAAGGTCCTGAAGTAGATACTAGGGAAGCACAAGGGAGTAAGACACAGTTGCTCCAATCAGCAGGTTTATGCACTATTGGGGTGACTGGATATAAACACAATGTTCAAAGCAGAGAAAATGTGTTTGCAATTGACTTAAAAAATATGCAACAGGACTTAGAATGAGTGACAAAATAAAAGGTTCCCATAATTCTTTTGCCTATAATAATTCAAGTTTTTTTTTCCTTTTTAGAAATCATATTAAATAGTACCAGTTAAACACTGAGCATAGCACTTTGGTGCATATTCAGGACCCAGTAAGTTCATATATTATTTATTACCTTTGTTATCACCACCACCATCATAATCATCACCATCCCTGTCACCATCACCATCATTATTGTCATAATCACCACCATCATTACCACCATCACCATCATCATCATTACCATCATCACCACCACCATCACCATTGTCATCATGATCATCATAATCACCATCACCATCGTCATCATCATCGCCACCATCAGTATCATCATAAAAACAGCTCTCTGAGAGGAGAGATTATTAATTGTTTCATGATCCATGCCATATCCCCAGGATTTGGCAGAGCCCCAGGGCTTGGCACAGTGCTCAATAAAGTTTGTTGGTTGGCTCATCATCACTAGATTTATAAAGAATTTCCATCTTTATTTGACTGAATAATGGAAGAGATGTTTATGCTCATCAGCCATGCTCTAACAGAGGTGCCATTGGCACATACTTATTCAAGGGACCAGTAGAAGGGATGGAGCCCCAGAATTTCCCAGGTCCACTGTGGTAGTCCCAAGAGCTACAGAGAAGCCCTCTTCAGCGGAAGCATCCAACCCTCTCATGGCAGAAAGGTCAGCAAATACAACTATTTACAGGCCTCACTGCATATGAGGCCTGAGTTGAGTCTCTCTCTGGAGTTGGCCAGAAGGGAAAGGGAATAACTTGTGCCCTCCCAGCCCCTTTCCTTATGAAGAGGACATAGGGGCATAGGAAGAGGGGACAGCTCCTGCCCTGCTTGGCATATAATTGGGGCCACTGGAGCATCGGTTGAATACTCACTGCTGGTGGTGGGCACAGAGCTCCGATGGGTGAAACCTGCATAGAGAAGGAGGGAGGAGAGTGGGTAAGGGTTAAGGGAGAGGTGGGCAATCAAATAGGGGTCACAGATACCCTAGTGGAATGGAAGAAGTTTCAAGGAACAGAGGCCTTTGAAGATTCTCTATCAGTACTCTCAGATCAGGGAAGAAGGTACTTGGGATGAACTCAGTCCAAGATGAAGAAACTATGAAGTTCAGACATCAGTCATCACACAAAGACAACATAGCCAAGACTTCAGTGGCCAGTCAGGGAGTGTGACCTCAAGTCAGAGAGTAAGAGGCTGCCCAGCAAAGAGGAAGACTCTCCAACCACATCACAGCTGCTCACCATTGACATAGAGACTGTCCCTGTCCAGGGTGTAGGGCCCCAGCTCAGTGATGCTATGGGTCAGCTGGCTCAGCTCCAAATACAGCTGCTCTCTGTCCAGCCCAGGGCCTGTGGGGTCAGGGCGGTGGGTGCAGATGACATCCACTCCGGTGGCTTCCCCAACCTTCTCTGGCCTAGGGAGGGCAGATAAGGGGAATGACATTAAATAGACTGCCTACAGGGAGGCATTATGAGATTCCTGAGGGCAGGACAGGAAGGGGACAGAGGAAATGAGACTCCTGGTGGACAGGTGAGAAGCCATACTAAGATTTTCTGAATGTGCTGACTTCCAGGCAGCCTGGGAATGTGAGTAGGGTCAGGAATACAAGAATTTTATAAAACTGCATTCTCATGGCATGGGGACAGGACAGCCCAGACTTGAGAAACATTAAGAGCTGGAATTGGGGATAAAAGCAAGTGGATGGGGGATGTTTATCCTGAGAGAAACCTTGGAAGATAATTTAACACCTGAAGGAGAGGGAGGTGGGGAGAAGTAAGAAATTCAGAGGGATCACCAAGGTAGAAGCCTGATCTGGCTGATGGGCCCTGCAAGTTCTCTCGGTTGACGGGGGAGGTGGTCGGATCAGAAGATATGTTGGTCCTGGAGCCACCAATGCCTGAATTCCACTTGTGCTGAGGACTTCCATAGGGAGGGAAGGAAGAAAGCTGACCAAACTCCTTGGGCCTGGGAACACTTGGGGCAGCCAGACTGGTTATTCTCAGTTCTCACCTGAGCAAGGTCAGCCTGCAGCCAGAGTACAGAGGGCCAACACTGGTGTTCTTGAACAAGGGCCTTAGCTGTGGTGGAGGAAGAGGGAGGTGAGTAGGACAGCTGAGGACATAGGAGCAAGGAAGATATAAGGTGGGAGGGGCTGTAATCAGGGGGTGAGAATTGCATCTCTCAGGTGAGGGGAGGTGAGTGAGATCTTCTTCCATGCCTTGGAATGGGTGATGTAGATGGAACGAGACAAGGTGGGCAGGGCAGAGTGAGGTGGGCAGGGCAGAGTGAGGTGGGCAGGGCTCTCACCAGACCCTGAAGGACCCTCTCTGTAGTGTTGAACTTCCTGGAGCCAGGCCACATGTTCTCCTCATACTGCAGGTTAGTGATGGTGAAGTTGAGGGTGAATAGTATCAGGAGATGGCTGGCAGCTGTAGTGTAGGTGGGAAATAAACACTATGTTCAAAAGCAGAGAACATTTAAGAGTTTGTAATAGACTTATCTCTAAACATATGCAACCAGATTTAAAGAGAGTGATAAAATAGGTTTTCATGCCTCCCTTGACTATAATGATCAAAGTTTTTCATATAGCATGCTAAATAATAATAGTTAGATGCTGAGCACAACCTTTCATGCATATTCAGTGTTCCATAATACTAGATACTATCTATTACCTTTGTTATCACCACCATCATCATCATCACCAACACTGCGGCCATCACTTTCATTATTGTCATCACCACCACCATCAGGACCAAAACCAAGATCATCATAATCCCTATCATCCCCATCACCATCATCATCATCATCCACATCATCACCTGCACTATCACCACCAGGAATGCGGTCACCAGCACCATCACTATTTCATCCTTACCATCATAACGATCACCACCACCATCATTATCATCACAACCACCACCACCACCGCCACACAGCCATCATGATCCACATCACCACCACTGGTACCATGATCACCAACACCCTCATCACATCATCCTTAACCATCATAACCACCACCACCACCACCACTATCATCATCATCCTCATTGTCAGTATCACCATCACATTGTCAATCACCGCCACAATCACCACCATCACCACCACTGTCATCCTTCCTATAATCACCACCAACACTATCATCATCATCATCATCATCACATCATCATTACTGTCAAAACCACTACCATCATCAGTATCATCATCATCATCATCTTCATAATCACCATTATCATCACATCATGGTCATCAGCATCACCATCATTATTGTAATAATCTCCAGCAACATCATCATCACCACTATCCCACATCATCCTCAAAATAAAATAAGCTCTCTGAGGGCAGAGATTTTTAACCTCTTTTGTGTTCCCTGCTTTATCTCTAGGGCCTGGCAGAGAGTGGGTGCTCAAAGAAGTTTGTTGGGTGACTCATCATCAGTAAATTTGCTATGATTTTTAATCTTTATTTAAGTAAAAAGAACAGAGATGTTGACACTCATCATGCATACTCTAATAGAGATGTCATTGACTGGCACTTACCTGAAGGGCCAAGTAGCGAGGTTGGAGTCCTAGATGCTCCCAGATACACTGTGGGGATCCCAGGAGCTGAGGAGAAGCCCACATTAGTTAAAGCAGCAAGCTCTTTCATGGCAGAAATGCCAGCAGATAGGAGTATTTCTGCATACGGGGCTTGAGATTAGTGTCTCTCTGGAGCTGGGCCAGAGGGAAAGGGAATCATTTATACCCTCTCAGATCCTTCCCTCATGAAGAAGATATAGGGGCATAGGAGAAGCGGGTCAGCTCCTGTCCTGCTTGGAGTAGGATTTGGGCCACTGGAATGTTAGTAGAATACTCACTGCTGGTGGTGGGCACAGAGCTCCGATGGGTGAAACCTGCATAGAGAGGGAGGAAGGAGAGTGGGTAAGGGTTAAGGGAAATGTAAGGGACCAAAAGGGGTCAGTGCTACCATGGTGCAATTGAAGGAGTTTCAGGGAACATGGGCTTTGAGGATTCTCTATAAGCACCCTCAGATCAGGGAAGAAGGTCCTGAGGATGAAGGTCTCCAGTACAAGATGAAGAAGAAACCATGAAGTTCGAATTAGTCATCAAACACAGACAACATGGCCAAGACTTTAATGGCCAGGTAGGGAGTGTGACCTCAAGAGAGAGAGTAGAGGCCTGCTCAACAAGGAAGAAGAAACTCCAACCACATCACAGTTTCTCACCATTGACAAAGAGGCTGTCGTTGTCCAGGGTATAGGGGCCCAGCTCAGTGATGCTGTGGGTCAGCTGGCTCAGCTCCCAATACAACTGCTCTCTGTCCAGCCTAGGGCTTTTGGGGTCAGGGTGGTGGGTGCAGATGGCGTCTACTCCAGTGGCTGCCCCATCCTTCTCAGGCCTGGAGAGGGCGGGTGAAGGGAATAATAATAAAGTTTTGTCTAGGGAGGAGTCCCAAGATTGCTGAGTGAAGGACAGGAAGGGGCCACAGGAAATGAGAAGCCTGGTACACAGATGAGAAGCCACACTTAGATTCTCTGAGTGCACTGACTACTGTCCAGCTTGGGACAGTGAGCATACTTGTGGATACAAGAATTTTTCTAACATTGCCATGTGGCTCTTGCATTCTCATGGCATGGGGACAGGACAGCTTAGACTTGAGACAGGTGAAGAGCTGGAATTGAGAATTAAACAAGTGGATGAGGCATGTTTGTCTTGAGAGAAATCCTAGTTAGAGAATTTAACACCTAAAGGCAGAGGAGGTGGGGAAAAAAGAGGGAATTCAGAGGGACGGCCAGGGTGAAAGTCCAATCTTTCTGATGGACCCTGTGGAAATTTTCAGTTGATTTGGGTGGGATGGCAGGGGGCAGTGGTAATATTGGGAGACAGATTAGTCTTGGAGCCACTGTTCCTTGAGTTCCATCTTTGATGAGAATAACCACAGAGAGGGCAGGAAAAAAGAAGTGCAAACTCATGGAGACTGGAAACAATTGGGGCAACAAAGGTTGGCAATTCTAAGGTCTCACCTGAGCAAGGTCAGTCTGCAGCCAGAGTACAGAGGGCCAACACTGGTGCTCTTGAACAGGGGCCTGAGCTGTGGGGGAGGGAGAGGGAGGTGAGTAGGATGGCTGAGGGGATAGGGGCAGGGGACTAGTCATTGGGGCTGGCACCAGTAGGTGGGCCTGGCATCAGTGGACGGGGGCTCATGTCTCTGGGTGTGAGGGGAGGTGGGTGAGATCTTCTTCTGTGCCCTGCCATGAGTGAGAGAGGTGGGGCTAGACAAGGTGAACTGGGCAGAGTGAGATGCTTGGGGCTCTTACCAGGCCCTGAAGGACCCTCTCCGTGGTGTTGAACTTCCTGGAGCCACGGTGCTGCATGTTCTCCTCATACCGCAGGTTGGTGATGGTGAAGTTGAGAGTGAACGGCACCAGGAGAGGGCTGGCAGCTGCCATGGAGGTGGGAAAGAAATGACTTGTTCAAGAGTAGAGAACTTTATACATTTCCAAAAGGCCTGCTTCTAAACATATGCAACGGGATTTAAAGAGAGAATAAAATAAAAAGTTTCCATGCGTCCCTTGACTATAACAATAGAAGTTTCTAACCAAGCCTACTAAATAATAGTAGTAGCTAGCATACCTCATGGTGCATATTCAGAGTTCTATAATACTAAATATTATCTGTTACTTTTATTATCAGCATTGTCATCATGTCACCAACACTGTGACCCTCACTATTATTATTGTCATCACCACCAGCATCAGCACCACCCACATCAGCACCAAAATCATGACCACAACTGTGGTGATGGTCATGGGGATGCTAGAATCATCCCCACTACCATCATCATCATCACCACCACCACCACAATCATCATCATTTGCATTATCATCACCAGCACCATGATTACCAACACCATTATCATATCATCATTACTCTCATCACCACCACCACCACCATCACAACCATCATCATTATAATCATCATTATCTTCATTGTAACCATCACAATCACTATTGTCAATCACTACCAAAACCACCATCATCCTTACCACCATCATTCTTCCCGTAATCACCCCTACAACTATCCTCCTCATCATCACATGATTACCATCATAACCACCACCACCATCATCATCATTATTATCATTGTCAACATCATCATTAATATTGTCAATCACTACCAAAACCACCACCATCACCAACACCACTATCATCCTTCCCGTAATCACCACCACCATTGTCATCATCACAGCATCACCATTATAACCCCTGCCACCAACATCATCATCACCACCACCATCTTCATAATTATCATCCTTATCGCCATCATTATCACTAGCATCACCATTTTTATTGTCGTCATCTCCAGTAACCTCAGCACCAACAATCTCCATCACCCTCACAATAAAATAAGCTTCCTTGCAGCAGAGATTTTTAACTCTTTTGTGTCCCCTTCCTTATCCCTAGAGCCCTGCAGAAACGAGGCACTCAATTAAGTTTGTTAGATGACTCCTCATCCATAGATTCGCTAGGATATTTTATTTAAGCGAAAATGGCAGAGATGTTGACAGTCATCAGGCATACTCTAACAGAGATGCAATTGATTTGTATTTATCCGAGGGACCAGGTTTAGAAGCTGGAGTCCCAGATGTTCCCAGGTCCACTGTGGAGGTCCCAGGAGCTGAGGAGAAGGCCTCTTTAGTGAAAGTGTCAAACCCTCTCATGGCAGAAATGCCAGCAGGTAGGAGTATTCACGGACCTTGCTGCATGTGGGGCTTGAGCTGGGTCTCTCTCTGAAGAGACTTGGGCCAGAAGGGAAAGGGAATAACTTGTGCTGTCCCAGCTCCTTTGCTCATAGAGGACATAGGGGCATGTGAGGAGGGTTCAGTTCTTGCTCTGCATGGTGTAGGATCAGGCGCACTGGAACATCAGTGGAATACTCACTGCTGGTGGTGGGTACAGAGCTCCATTGTGTGAAACCTGCATAGAGATGGAGGGAGGAGGGTAGGTAAGGGTTAAAGGAGTGGTGGGGCACTATATAGGGGTGAGGGTACCCTGTTGCAATGGAAGGAATTTCCCAAAACACGAGCCATTGAAGATTCTCTATCAGCACCCTCAGATCCAGAAAGCAGATCCCCAGGAAGAACTCAGTCCAAGATGAAATAGAAACCATGGAGTTCCAACATCAGCTGTCACATACAGACAACATGGCCGAGCATTCAATAGCCAGGCAGGGAGTGTGACCTCAAGGCAGAGAGTAGAGGCTGCCCAGCAAGGAGGAAGAGACTCCAACCACATCACAGCTACTCACCATTGACATAGAGACTGTCCCTGTCCAGGGTGTAGGGGCCCAGCTCAGTGATGCCATGGGTCAGCTGGCTCAGTTCCCAGTATAGCTGCTCTCTGTCCAGTCCAGGGCTTTTGGGGTCAGGGCGGTAGGCGCAGATGGCATCCACTTTGGTGGCTGCCCCATCCTTCTTGGGCCTGGGGAGGGCAAGATTGGGGGAAGACAATACATGGATTGCCTAGGGAGGGGTCCTGAGATCCCATGGGGCAGGACAGGATGGGGCCAGAAGAAATGAGAAGCCTGGTAGAGAAGTGAGAAGCCACACTTCCATTCTCTGAGTACACTGACTCTCAGCGACTATAAGCAGAATCATGGATGCAAGGATTTTTATAAAATTGCAAAGTGGAAACTTTTTAATAAAATTGCAAAGAGGAGAACTCATACTTGAGACAGGTAAAGAGTTGGGATGAAAGCAAGTGGACAAGGCATGTTTTCTTGGGAGAAATCCTGGGAACAGCATTGAACAGAATTTAACCACTTTTGGAAAGGCAGGCAGGGCAAAGGAGGGAATTCAGAGGGATGACCAAGGTAGAAGCCCAGTCGTGCTGATGGGCTCTGCATCTCTCAGTTGAGGTGGGAGGTGGTAGGATCAGGAAGCACATTGGTCTTGGAGCCACTGCCTGCTGGATTCCACCTGTGCTGTGGACATCTCCAGGGAGTGCAGAAAGGAAGCAGGTCAGACTTCTCAGATCAGTCAGACTGGCTGTTCTCAGTTCTCACCTGAGTAAGGTCAGTCTGCAGCCAGAGTACAGAGGGCCAACACTGGTGTTCTTGAACAAAGGCCTGAGCTGTGGAGGAGGGAGAAAGAGGTGAATGGGAGGACTGAAGTCATAGGGATGTGGTAGAAGGGAGGTGGGCAGGGCGGGCAACAGTTGGTGGGGCTGGCATCAGTGGTTGGGGCATGCATATCTGGGGGCAAGATGAGGTAGGTGAGATCTTCCATGCTCTGCAACAGGTAAGGTGGGCAGGACTAAACATGGTGAGTGGGGTAGAATGAGGTGTGTGGGGCTCTTACCAGACCCTGAAGGACTCTCTCTGTGGTGTTAAACTTTCCAGAGCCAGGGTGATGCATGCTCTCCTCATACCACAGGTTAGTGATGGTGAAGTTAAGTGTGAATAGCACCAGGAGAGGGCTGGCGGCTATAGTGAAGATGGGAAATAAAGTGTTTAAAAGTAGACTAACATGTAAGAATTTGTGATAGAGGCTGGGCGCAGTGGCTCACGCCTGTAATCCCAGCACTTTGGGAGGCCGAGGAGGGTGGATCATGAGGTCAGGAGATTGAGACCATCCCAGTTAACAGAGTGAAATCCTGTCTCTACTAAAAATACAAAAAAATTGCCGGGCATGGTGGCGGGCGCCTGTAGTCCCAGCTATTCGGGAGACTGAGGCAGGAGAATGGCATGAACCCAGGAGGCGGAGCTTGCAGTGAGCCGAGATCGCGCCACTGGACCAGATCTAGCCTGGGTGATGGAGACTCCGTTTCAAAAAAAAAAAAAAAAAAAAAGAATTTGTGATAGAATTGTTTCTAAACATATGCAACATGATTTAAAGTGACAAAATAAAAGGTTTTCAGGCCTCTCTTAACTATAATGATAGATAGTTTTCATAGAGCATACTAAATAATAGTAGTTAGATGCTGAGCATAGCTCTTGGTGCATATTCAGTATTCCATACTACTAGACATTATCTACTACTTTGTCAACATCACGATCATCGTCAACATCAGCAACACTGTGACCATCACTATCATTATTGTCATCACCACCAGCATCAGCACAAAACCATGACCATCATAATCCCTATCATCCCCACCCATTGCCATCATCACACCACCAGCACCCCAACCATCATCATCCATATAATCACCACTAGCACATGGTCACTAACACCATTATCATATCATTCTTACCGTCATAACCACCATCACCACCACCACCACCATCATCATCATTATCACCATCATCACCACTATCATTATCCTTTTTGTCAACATCACGATCACATTGTCAATTACCTTCAAAACCATCACATCACCACCACCACTGTCATCCTTCCCATAATCATCACCACCACTATCGTCATCATCACTGTCAAAACCACTACCACCACCATCATCATCACCATCATCATCAGCAATGCCATCATTGTTGTCATCATGTCCACCACCATCATCACCACCACCCCTATCATTATCATCATCATCATCATCACAATAATATAACCTTCCTGAGGACAGAGATTTGTATTTCTTTGGTGTTCCCAGCCTTATCCCTAGGGCCCTGAAGCAGCCAGACTCTCAATAAAATTTGTTGGTTAACTTCTCATCACTACATTCACTAGGACTTTTCATCTTTATTTGAGTGAAAATGGTGGAGTTGTAGGCCAGGTGTGGTGGCTCACGCCTGTCATCCCAGCACTTTGGGGGACCAAGGCAGACAGATCACGAGGTAAGGAGTTCAAGATCAGCTTGACCAACAGGGTGAAGCGCCATCTCTACTAAAAATATAAAAATTAGCTGGGCGTGGTGGCATGCACCTGTAATCCCAGCTATCCAGGAGGCAGAGGCAGGAGAATTGCTTGAACCCAGGAGGCAGAGGTTGCAGTGGGCCAAGATAGCACCATTGCATTCCAGCCTGGGCGACAGAGTAAGACTCCATCTCAAAAAAGAAAAGAAAAAGAAAAGAAAATGGCAGAGATGTTGACACTCCTCAGGCATGCTGTAATAGAGATGGCACTGAATGGTACTCACTCGTGGGTCCAGACAGGGAGGCTGGAGTTCTCGAGGTTCCCAGGTGCATTGTGGAGGTATCAGGAGCTGAGGAGAAGGTTTGCTGTATTAGTGAAAGCAGCAAACCCTCTCACGGCAGAAACACCAGCAGGTAGGAGTATTTATGGCCCCTGCTGCATGTGGAGCTTGAGCAGGATCTCCATCTGGAGATGGGCCAGAGGGAAAGGGGAATAACTTGTGCTCTCTCAGTTCCTTCCCTCATGAAGAGGATATAGGGGCATAGAAGGAGAGGAAAGCTCCTGCCCTTTATGGTGTGGGATAAGGAGCACTGGAACATCAGTTAATACTCACTTCTGGTGGTCATCATGGAGCTCTGATGGGTGAAACCTGCATTGAGATGGAGGGAGGAGAGTGGGTAAGTGTTAACAGAGTGGTGGGGTACCCGGGTGCAACAGAAGGAATTTCCCAGAACATGGGACATTGAAGATTCTCTATCAGCACCCTCAGATTTAGAAAGCAGATCCTGAGGGTAAACTCAGTCCCAGATGAAGAAGAAACCATGAGGTTTTGACCTTGGCCACCACATACAGACAACATGGCTGAGCCTTCAATAGCCAGACAGGGAGTGTGACCTCAGGCCAGAGAATAGAGGCTGCCCAGCAAGGCAGGAGAGACTCCAGCCACATCAAAGTTGCCCACCATTGACATAGAGACTGTGTCTGTCCAGGGTGTAGGGGCCCAGCTCAGTGATGCCGTGGGTCAGCTGGCTCAGCTTCCAGTACAGCTGCTCTCTGTCCAGTCCAGGGCTTTGGGGGTCAGGACGGTGGGTGCAGACAGCATCCACTCTGGTGGCTGCCCCATCCTTCTCAGGCCTGGGGAGGGCAGATGAAGCAAATAACAATTTAAAACTTGCCTCCGGGGGAGTTCTGAGATTTCCTGAGGCCAGACAGGAAGGGACCAGAGGAAATGAGAAGCCTGGGAAAGAGGTCATAAGTCACATTTAGATTCTCTGAGTGTCCCAGCTGCCAGCCAGCCCAGGACTGTGAACAGAGTCATAGATGCAAGAACTTTTTATAAAATTGCAAGGTGAAGCCCGCATTCTTATGGCGTGGAGACAAGAGTACTCAGACGTGAGACAGATGAAGAGCTGGAATTGGGGATGAAAGCAAGTGGATGAGACATGTTTGTCTTACGAGAAATCCTGGGGACAGAATTTAACAACTGGAGGAAAGGGAGGTAGGTGGAAAGGAGGGAATTCAGAGGGATGACCAAGGTAGAAGCCCAATTCTCCTGATGGACTCTGCAGAATCTCTCTGTTGATTGGGGCGGTGCCGATGGTATCAAGAGACAGATTAGTTTTGAAGCCACTGCTTCCTGAATTCCATCTTTTGTGAGGACATTCACAGGGATGGCAGGAAAAAGAAAACCAATCCAAACTCTTTGAGTCTAGGAACAATTGGGGCAGCTAGGCTAGCTCTTCTAAAGTCTCACCTGAGCAAGGTCAGTCTGCAACCAGAGTACAGAGCGCCAACACTGGTGTTCTTGAACAAGGGCCTAAGCTGTGGAAGAGGGAGACGGAGGTGACTAGGAGGGCTGGGGACATAGTGGTGGGGCACAAGTGTGGCGGACGCAGCTGGCACCAGTGGGCAGGGCTTGTGTCTATGGGGTAGGTGGATGAGATTTTCTTCCATGGCCCTGGCATGGGTAATGTTGTTGGGACCAGGTAAGGTGAGTGGGGCACAGTAAGGTGGGCAGGTGTCTCACCAGACCCTGAAGGACCCTCTCCGTGGTGTTGAAATTCCTGGAGCCAGGGCGACCCATGTCCTCCTTGTATCGCAGGTTATTGATGGTAAAATTGAGGGTGAATGGCAGCAGGAGAGGGCCAGTGCCTGTAGTAAAAGGTGGGAAACAAACACTATTGCGTTTGTATTTTTAATCAGTTGCATATAGTTAAAATAAGTCTATTGAAAACTCCTCAAGGTTCTCGACTTTTGCAATAGACTTGAAGAGTGCAATAAATTTATTTTTAATCATATGCAACAGAATTTAAAATGAATGAAAAATAAAAGGTTTCTGTGCCCTTCTTGATATAAATTATTTTTTTAAAAAACATATTAAATAATACTTGTTAGATTCTGAGCTCAGCTTTTGGTGCATATTCAGCGCTGAAAAATATCAGATATTACCTGTTACCTTTGTCATCACCATTATCATCATCATAATCATGATCATCATCATCATTATTGTCAGCATCAGCACCACAACTATCACCACCATGATAATCCCCATCAATGCTATCACAAACATCATTATCACCATTGTCATCTCATCATTACCATCATAATCACCATCACTGTCATCATCTGAATAATCATCATCATCACGATCATTGTCATCATAATCACCATCGTCATCATTATTGTGATCCTCAGTAACACCACCATCACCAATGTCATAATCTACATCAACACCACCACAAACATCATCATCATCATAATCACATCATCATTACCATCATAACCAGCAACATTATTGTCATCATCCAAACAGCCATCATCATCTTTACCATCATCATCACCATTGTTATCATCATCACCACTCCAACATCATCCCCACAGTCAATACAACTGTCATCATCATCATTGTTATTATAATTATTGCCAACATCCCCATAATTATTGTCAATTGTAATCCCCACCACCACCACCACCATCATTCTTCCCATGATTACCCCCACCATAATCATCATTATCCTTACCATCATCACCACCACCACCACCACCACCACCACTGCAGTCATCATCACTGCCACCTCCATCAACATCATCACAATAATAAGCTCATTGAGGGCAGTGTTTTTTCTTTTTTTGTTCCCTGATGTATATCCAGGTCCTGATACACAGGCAGTGCTCAACCAACTTAGTTGGTTGACCTATGGTTACTAGATTTACTATGAATTTCCATCTTTAGTTGAGTGAATAATGACAGAGATGTTTACACTCATCAACCATGCTCTAAATATCATTGACTGGTATTTACCTGTGGGGCCAGGGAGGGATGATGGAGTCTCAGAGGTTTCCAGCTGTACTGTGAAAGTCCCAGGAGCTGAGGAGAAGCCCTCATCAGTGAAAGGAGCAAGCGCTCTCATGGAAGTAATGCCAGCAGGAGGGACTATTCATGGGGATTTTTGCCTGTAGGGCTTCAGCTGGGATTCTGGTTAGGTGGGGCAGTGGGGATGGGGAATAATTTTTGCCCTCTATGTTCCTTCCCATATGGAAAGGACATAAGGGCTTATGAATAGGGGTCAGCTCCTGCTAAGTTTGGTGTAGGATTGGGGCCACTGGAACATCAGTAGAATACTCACTGCTGGTGACAGAAACAGAGCTCCGCTGGGTGAAACCTGCATAGAGAGGGAGGGAGGAATGTGAATAAGAGTCAAGTGGGAGGTAGGGAATCAAACAAAAGTCAGGACTACCCTGATGGAATTAAAGGAGTTTCATGGAACAGGGACATTTGGAGATTCTCTGTCAGAATCTGAGTATCAGGGAAGAAGGTACTAAGGATGCAATCAGTTCAAGATAAAGAAGAAATCATGAAATTGTGACATCAATCACCACATACAGACATGTCCTAGCCTTCAGTGTCCAGGCAGGGCATGTGACCTCAAGTCAGAGAGTAGAGGCTGCCCAGCTAGGAGAAAGAGACTCTAACCACATAACAGCTGCTTACCATTGACATAGAGACTATCCCTGTCCAGGGTGTAGGGGCCCAGCTCAGTGATGCTGTGGGTCAGCTGGCTCAGCTCCCAGTATAGCCGCTCTCTGTCTAGCCCAGGGATTTTGGGGTCAGGGCGGTGGGTACAGATGGCGTCCACTCTGGTGGCTGCTCCATCCTTCTCAGGCCTAGGGAGAGGTGGGGAGGGGAATGGCAATAAATGAATTGCCTAAGGAGAGATCCTGAGATGGCAGAGTGAAGGACAAAAAGGACAGAGGAAGTAAAAAGTCTATTACAGAGGTGGGAAGCAATACTTAGATTCTCTGAGTGCACTGGCCGGCCTGGGACTGTGAGCATAGTTGTGGATGTAATAGTTTTCCCAAAATGGCAGGGCGGATCCTGCATTCTTAAAGCCTGGAAACAGGAGAGCTCAGATTTGAGATAGGTGAAGAGCTGGAATTGGGGATGAAAGCAAGTGGTTGAGGCATGTTTGTCTTGAGAGAAATCCTGGTTACAGAATTTAACACCTAAAGTCAATGCAGGTGGAGGGAAAACAGGGAATTCGGAGGGATGGCCAGGGTAGAAATCCAGTCCTGTTGATGGACTCTGGAATTTCTCAGTCTGTTTGGAAGTAGGGGCGGGGGCACTGCTAATACCAGGAGACAGGTTAGTCCTGGAGCTACTGTTTCCTGAATTCCATCTTTGATAAGAATAATCACAAAGAGGACAGGAAAAAAGAAGTCCAAACTCATTGAGACTAGGAACAATTGGGGCAGCCAGGCAGGAAATTCTAAGGTCTCACCTGAGCAAGGTCAATCTGCAGCCAGAATACAGAGGGCCAACATCCGTGCTCTTGAACAAGTGCTTGAGCTGTGGAGGAGGGAGAGAGAGGTCAGTGGCAGGGCTGAGGAGGTAGGGGCAGGGCAGAAGTGAGGTGGGTGGGGCTGGCTCTAGTTGGTAGAGCTGACATCAGTAGGTTGGATGGGGCTTTTATCTCTTGGGGTGAGGGGAGGTGGGTGAGATCTTCTGTGGCCATATAGATACATAGGTGGGACTAGGTAAGATGGGTAGGGCAGAGTGAGATAGGTGGGGCTCTCACCAGACCCTGCAGAACCCTCTCCGTGGTGTTGAACTTCCTGGAGCCAGGGTGACCCATGTTCTCCTCATACTGTAGGTTAGTGATGGTGAAGTTGAGTGTGAATGGCACCAGGAGAGGGCTGGTGGCTGTAGTGAAGGTGGGAAATAAACACTATGTTTGAAAGTAGAGAACATTTAAGAGTTTGCAATAGACTTATTTCTAAATATATGCAACAGGATTTAAAATGAGTGATAAAACATAATGTTTTCATGCCTCCTTTGACTATTATGATAGATGTTTTTGATAGAGCACATTAAATAATTGTAGTGAGATGCTGAGCATAGGTCTTGGTGCATATTCAGTGTTCCATAGTGCCAGATACTATCTAGTGCCATTGTTAACACCAACTTCATTTTCAATATCACCATGATTATCTCCATGAGTATTACTGTCATCATCATCACCATTAGCACCAACCCCGCCACTACCAGCACCACCATCATCATCATCATCATTACCACTACAACCATCATCATCCTAATCATCACCTCCATCACCATTTTCATCATCGCCATCATCATTGTCAATATCACCATGCTTATCACCATCAGTAGTATTATTGTCATCATCACCACTACCATCATCATTATCCTCATCATCCCCATCACCAGCAGTGCTATCATCATCGCCATCTTCATTACCATCAGTGTCAACATCACCATCATTTTTGTCAATCACCACCACCATAATTATTACTGTCTTCACATAATTATTATCATCATAACCACTACCCCCACCATTGTCATCATCCTCATCATTGTCATAATAATTAGCATCATCACCACCATCATCTATATCATGATCATTATCATCATCATCATCACCATCACCACCATCATCATCACCACCACTTACATCATCATCATCATCACAGGAATATAAGCTATCTTAAGCAGAGATTGCTATCTATTTCTATGTTCCCTGCTGTATCTTCAGGGCCTGGCACATAGTAGGTGCTCAATAAAGTTTACAGGTTAACTCCTCATCACTAGATTTACTATGACTTTTATCTTTATTTAAGTGCATAATGGCAGAAATATTTATATTCATCAGGAATGCTCTAACGGAGATGCCACTGGCTGATACTTACCTGTAGTTTCAGGGAGGGAAGACAGGATCCCAGAGGTTCCCAGGTTCACTGTGGAGGTCCCAGGAGCTAAGGAGAAGCCCTCATCAGTGAAAGCAGCAAGCATCCTCATGGCAGAAATGCCAGCAGGTAGGACTAGTATGAGGCTTGCTGCATGTGGGTCTTGAACTGTGTTTCTCTTTGGGCACAAGGGAGAAGGAATAACTTGTGCTCTCCCAGCACCTTCTCTCATGAAGAGGACATAAGTGTGTATGAGGAGGGCTCAGCACCTGCCCTGCTTGGAGTAGAATTGGGGGTACTGGAACATCAGTTGAATACTCACTGTTGGTGGTTGGTATGGAGCTCCAATGAGTGAAACCTGTGGAGAGAGGGAAGGAGGATAGTGGGTAAGGGTTAAGGAGAGGTGGGGGGATGAAATAGGAATCAGGGCTACCCTGGTGGATTAGAAGGGGTTTCATGGAACAGGAGCCATTAAAGGTTCTCTATCAGCACATTCACTTCAGGGTCCAAGGTCTGGAGGATGAACACAGTACAAGATGCAGAAAAAAAAATAATGAAGTTCTAACATCAATCATCACATGCAGACAACATGGCAGAGATTTCAACGTCCAGACAGGAAGTGTGACCTCAAGCCAGAAAGGAGGGGCTGCCCAGCAAGAAGGACGAGAATCCAACCACATCAAAGCTGCTCACCATTGACATAGAGACTGTCCCTGTCCAGGGTGTAGGGGCCCAGCTCAGTGATGCCATGGGTCAACTGGCTCAGCTCCCAGTACAGCTGCTCTCTGTCCAGTCCAGGGCTTTGAGGGTCAGGGCGGTAGGTACAGATGGCATCCACTCTGGTGGCTGCCTTGTCCTTCTCTGGCCTGAGGAGGTTAAGTGGGTGGAGGGGGTGACAATGAAAGGATTGCCCAGGCAGGGGTTCTGAGATTCCTGAGGGAAGGACAGGGAGGGGACAGAGGAAATGAGAAGCCGGGGAGAGAGGTGAGAAGCCACAATTAATTTCTCTAAATGCACCAACTCCTAGCCAGCCCTGGATTGGGAGCAGAGTCATGGACACAAGAATATTTATGAAATTGCAAGGTGAAACTTCCAGTTTGATAGCACGAAGACAGGAGAGCTCAGACCTGAGACAAGTGAAGAGCTAGAATCAGAGATAAAAGCAAGTGGAAAACCCACCTTTCTCTTAAGGGAGACCTTGGGAACAGAATTTTAAAACTTAAGAGAAGGGATAAGGAGGAATGGAAGGTATTAAGAAGGATGAGTGGAGTAAGAACCCAATCTTGATGATGGGCTCTGCAGAATCTGTCACTTGAGTGGGGAAGTGCTAGGATCAGGAGACACATTCTTTCTTGAAGCCACTGCCAACTGAATCCCACTTCTGCTGAGGACGCTCACAGGGAGGGCAAGAAGGATGCTGCTGGGGCCTGGGAACACTTGGGTAAGCCCTGATTGGCTATTCTAAGGTCTCACCTGAGCAAGGTCAGTCTGCAGCTGGAGTACAAAGGGCTGATACTGGTATTCTTGAACAAGGGCCCCAGCTGTGGAGGAGGGAGAGAGAGGTGATTGGGAGGGGTGATGAGGACGGGCAGGGCAGAAATGAGACAGGTGGGGCTGACACCAGTGGGTACGGCTTGTGATTTGGGGTCAAAGGTGATTCACATGGGATCTTCTTGTACATCTCTGGCATGGGTGATGCAGGTAGAATCTGGTAAGGTGGGCCAGGCAGTTAGATGGGTTGGACTCTCACCAGACCCTGTAGGACCCTCTCCGTGGTGTTGAACTTCCTGGAGCCAGGGTGTCGCATGGCCTCCTCATACTGCAAGTTGGTGATGGTGAAGTTGAGGCTGAATGGCAGGAGGAGAGGACCAGGCACTGTAGTGTGGGTAAGAAACAAGCACTATGTTCAGAAGTACAGAAATTATGGATTTGCAATAAAATTATTTTTAAATATACACAGCATTAAACGGGATGGACAAAATGAAGATTTTTGATCCCTCCCTTAACTATAATGATAGAATTTAAAAAGACACATAGCATATCATATCAGTTGGATGTTGAGCCTAGCTTTCATTGTATGTTCATTGCTCAATAATGTCATACTTCATCCCTTACCTTTGTTACCACCATCATAATCACCATCATTGTCACCTACAGCATCATTATTGTCATCATCATTGCCACCACCACCACCATAATAATCCCCATAATCACCACCAGCACAACCATCACCACCACCATCATCATCATCACCATCATTACTGCCATCATCACTGCCACCACCATCACCATGATAATCCCCATTGTCATCATCATTGTCACCCACACCATAATAATTGTCATCACTGCCACCAACACCACCACCATAATAATCTCCATCATCACCACCAGCATCAGAACCACCATCATCATCACCATCACTGTCACCCACACCATCCTTGTCACCACCACTGCCATGACCACCACCATGATCATCTCCATCACGACCACCAGCACTATCATTTATCACACTCAACACATCATCATCATCATAACCCCCACCATTGTCATCATCCTCACCACCTTCATCATCATTATCATCATTGCTACCATAAGCATCACCATCATCATCAAAACTGCCACCACTATCATCATCACCACCCGCCACAGTCATCATCACAAGAATATAAGCTCTCTGATGGCAGAGATTTTTATCTGTTTTGTATACCTGCTGTATCCCCAGGGTCTGGCACAGAGGAGGTGATCAGTCACATTTGTAGGTTGACTTATCATCACTAGATTTACTATGATTTTTACCTTTATTTGAGTAAATAATGGCAGACATGTTTCTGCTCATCAGTCATGCTCTAATAGAGGTGCCATTGACTGGTGCTCACCTGTGTGGCCAGGGAGGGAGGCTGGAGTCCCAGAGGTTTCCAAGTGCACTGCAGAGGTCCCAGGAACTGAGAAGAAGCCCTCATTACTGAAAGCAGCAAACTCTCTCATGGTGGAAATGCCAGCAGGTAAAACTATTATGGGCCCTGCTGCATTTGAGGTTTGAGCTGAGCGTCTCTATGGAGCTAGGGCACAGGGGAAAGGGAATAGACTGTGCCCTTGAAGCCTTTTCCCTCATGAAGAGGACATAAAGGGATAAGAGGTAATGCCAGCTCCTGCCCTGCTTGGTATAGGACTAGGGGGACTGGAACATCAGTAAAATACTCACTTCTGGTTGGCACAGAGCTCTGATGGGTGAAGCCTGCAGAGAGAGGCAGGGAGGAGAGTGGGTAAGGGTTAAGGAGAGGTCAGACCAAATAGGGGTCAGGGTTACCCTAGTGCAATGAGGAAAGTTTCATGAAGCATGGTCATTGAGAATCTTCACCAGCACCCTCACATGGGGGAAGAAGGCCTTGAGGGTAAAATACGTGCAAGATGAAGATGAAACCGTGAAGCTGAAACCTCAATCATCACATATAGAGCACATCATCAAACCCTCAATGGTCAGACAGGGCATGTGACCCCAGGACAGACAGTAGGGTCTACCCAGCTAGAAGGAAGAACCTCCAGTCACATCATGGCTGCTCACCATTGACATAGAGACTGTCTCTGTCCAGGGTGTAGGGGCCCAGCTCTGTGATGCTGTTGGTCAGCTGGCTCAGCTCCCAGTATAGCCGCTCTCTGTCCAGTCCAGGGCTGGTGGGATCAAACCGGTGGGTGCAGATGGCGTCCACTCCAGTGGCTGTCCCATCCTTCTCAGGTCTGGGGAGGGCAAGAGTGGGGAATGGCAATTAATGGATTGCCTAGGGAGTGGTCTTGAGCTTGTTGGGTGAAGGACAGGAAGGGGTCAGAGGAATTGAGAAGCCTGGTACAGACGTGAGAGAAGTCACACTTTGATTCTCTAAGTGCTTTGACTCCCTGCCAGCCTGGGATTGTGAACAAAGTCATGGATGCGAGGATTTTTATGAAATCACAAGGTGCAACCTGCATTCTCACAGCAATGGGGAAAGAAGAGCTGAATCCTGAGACAGGAGAAGAACAGGAATTAGGGGTGAAATCAAGTGGATGAGGCATGTTTGGCAGAAATTCTGGGGACAGACTTTAACAACTGAAGGAAAGGGAGGTGGAGGGAATTTAGAGGGGTGATGAGGGTAAGGGCTCAATCCTGCTGATGGACTCTGAAGAATGTGTCAGTTGAGGTGGGAGGTGGTAGAATCAGGAGACAAACTGGTTGTGGAGCCATTGCCTCCTGAATTCCATCTGTGCTGAGGCCATCCCACAGTAGGGCAGGAAGGTGACCAAACTTTTTGGGCCTGGGAACAATTGGGGAAACCAGGCTGGAAATTCTAAGGTCTCACCTGAGCAAGGTCAGTCTGCAGCCAGAGTACAGAGGGCCGACACTGGTGCTCTTGAACAAGGGCTTGAGCTGTGGAGGAAGGGGAAGGAGGTGAGTGGGTGGGCTGAGGTGTAGGGATGGGGCAGACATGAGGTAGGAAGGGCTGGCATCACCAGTTGGGGCTTGCATCTCTGGGGCCAAGGAGTGGTGGGTGAGATCTTCCATGGCCCTGGCATGGGTGATATAAGCAGGACTGGTAAGGTGGTGGAGCTCTTACCAGACCCTGCAGAACCCTCTCCGTGGTGTTGAACTTTCTGGAGCCAGGGTGTTGCATGTTTTCCTCATAATGCAGGTTAGTGATGGTAAAGTTGAGGGTGAATGGTATCAGGAGAGGGCCAGCGGCTGTAAAGGGGTTGGGAAATAAACACGATGTTCAAAAGTAGAGAAATATATAACAGTTTGCAATAGACTTATTTTTAAACATATGCAGCAGCATTTCATGTGGATAAAAAATAAAAGATTTTCATGCCTGTCTTGACTACAATAATAGAAGTTTTTCATAAATAAGCATATTATATAATTGTAATGAGATGGTGAACATAGTGCTTGGTGCATATTTAGTGCTCAGTAATGTCAGATGCTATTTTTTACCTCTGTTATTGCCATCTTCATCATCAACATAACCATAGTTGTTGCCATGGCTATCATCGCTTTCATCACTATCAACTTCAGCACCACCACTACCACCATCCTCATCACCATCACCACCACAGAGATCATAATCAGCATCATCACCACCAGCACCATCATAATATTATTATTACCAGGATAATCACCAACACAATCATCATCATCATCATCATCTTCATCTTCATTATCCTCATTGTCAATATCACAATCATCATTGGCAGTCGTCATCACCACCATCATCATCACCACCACAATCACCTCAAATATCACCAGTATCACCACAATCATCCCAAACATCACCACCATCACATCATCATTCCTGTTATAATCAGCACCACTATTATCACCATCATCTTCATCACCATCTCCATAATTATCATCACCATCACCAACATCATCAGCAGCATTGCCATCTTTATAGTCATCTCCATGATATTATCATCATCTCCATCCCCCCCACTATCATCATCGCTGCCACCCTTATCATCCTCATCATCACAAGAATATAAGCGCTCTGAAGGAAGATATTTTTATCTCTTTTGTATTCCCTGCCGCATTCCATAGGTCTGGCACAGAGTAAGTGCTCAATAAAGTGTGTTGGTTGCATCAGCTGCACTAGATTTGATTTGCTATGATGTTTCATCTTAATTTACATGAAAATGACAGAGATGAAGACACTTACCATTGACTGGTATCATTGACTGGTGCTCACCTGTGTGGCTGGAGAGGGAGGATGGAGTCCCAGAGGTTGCCAGGTACACTGTGGGGGTCCCAGGAGCTGAGAAGAAGCTCTTATCAGTGAAATTAGCAAGTACCCCCATGGCAGAAAGGCCAGCAGGTAAGACTATTATGAAACTTGATGCATATGGGGTTTGACCTAGATCAGTCTGTAGCTGGGGCAGAAGGGAGGATGAATCCCTTCTGCCTTCCCAGCTCCTTCTAGTCAGAAGAGGAGCTATGGTTTTATATGGAGAAAGGTCAGCTCCTGCTCTGCTTTGTGTAGAACCAGGGGCATGAGATTATCAGTTGAATACTCACTACTGGTAGTGGGCACAGATTTCCGATGGGTGAAACCTGCAGAGAGAGAGGGATTAACCTGAGTAAGGTTAAGGTAGAGGTGGATAACCAAATAGGGGTCAGGGCTACCCTGGTGAAATGGAACCGGGGCTGCTGGAGGTTTTCTATCAGGATCCTCACATCAGGGAAGAAAACCCTGAGGGTAAACCCAGTCTTCAACATAAAGAAGAAGCCATGATGTTCTGACATCAACTATCAAATATAGACAACACTGTCAAGCTTTCAATGGCCAGGCAGTGAGTGTGACTTCAAGCCAGGGAGTAGAGGTTGCCCATCACAGAGGAAGAGCCTCCAACCACATCACAGCTGCTCACCATTGACATACAGACTGTCTCTGTCCAGGGTGTAGGGGCCCAGTTCAGTGATGCTGTGGGTCAGTTGGCTCAGCTCCCAGTAGAGCTGCTCTCTGTCCAGCCCAGGTCTTTTGGGATCAGGGTGGTAGAGGCAGACAGCGTCCACTCCAGTGGCTGCTCCATCCTTCTCAGTCCTGGGGAAAGGAGGTGGGGAGAACGACAATGAAAAGATTACCTAGGACAGGTCTTGAGATTGCTGATGGAAGGACAGCAAAGGATAAGGGAAAATGAGAAACCTGGGAAAGAGGTGAGAAGCCACACTTAGATTCTCTGAGTGCACGGACTACCAGCTTGCTTGGGACCATAAACAGAGTCAAGGATACAACAATTCTTATAAAAGTGCAAGGGTGAAATTTGCATTCTCATGGCATGGGAAAAAAGAGCCCAGACTTGAGACCACTGAAGACCTTGAAATGGGGATGAAAGCACATGGGTGAGGCATGATTGTCTTGAAAGAAATTCTGGGGACAGAATTTAACACCTAAAGGAAAGGGAGAGAGAGGGAAAGGTAGGGGCTCAATCCTGATGATGGACCACGCAGATTCTCTCTGTTGAGGTGAGGTGTGGGGGTGTTACTATCAGGAAACACACCGGTCCTGAGGCCAGTGACTCCTGAATTCCACCTTTGGTGAGGATATCCCTAGGAAGTGTATAAAGGAAGATGTGCAAAGTCTATTGGAGTGAGAATAGTTGGGACAGCCAGGCTGGCTATTCTAGCCTCACCTGAGAGAAGTCAGTCTGCAGCCAGAGTACAGAGGGCCAACACTGGAGTTCTTGAATATGGGACTCAGCTGTGCAGGAGGGAGAGAGAGGTGAGTAGGAGGGTTAAGGTCCCTGTGTGGGGGCAAAAGTGAGGTGGGTGGGGAAGGGCCCAGTGGGCATGGCTGGCCTCAGTGGGTGAGGCTTGCATCTCTGGGGATGAGGGCAAGGTGGGTGCGATCTTCTTCCATGGCCCTGGCACAGATGTTGTAGGAGGGGCTGGGTATCTGGAGTCGGGGAGAGCGAAGAGGTCAGGGTACTAACCAGACCCTGCAGGACCCTCTCTGTGGTGTTGAACTTCCTTGATCCAGGGCGATGCATGTCCTCCTCATACTGCAGGTTGGTGATGGTGAAGTTGAGGGTGAATGGCACCAGGAGAGGGCCAGCAGCTGTAGTGGGAGGGGGAAACAAACATTATGTTCAAAGTGGAGAAAATAGGAATTTGCAACAGACTTATCTTTAAACATGTGCAACATTTAAATTGAATGACTAAATAAATATTTACCATGCATCCCTTTCCTATAATGACAGAATTTATTTACTTATTTTTTTGAGACGGAGTCTCACTCTGTCACTAGGCTGGAGTGCAGTGGCACCATCTTGGCTCACTGCAACCTCTGCCTCCCGGATTTAAGCAATTCTCCTGCCTCAGCCTCCCAAGTAGCTGGGACTACAGGCATGCACCACCACGCCCGGCTAATTTTTGTATTTTTAGTAGAGATGGGGTTTCGCCATGTTGGCCAGGATGGTCTCGATCTCTTGACCTCGTGATCCACCCACCTCGGCCTTCCAAAATGCTGAGGTTATGGACGTGAGCCACCGCACCTGGCCTGACATAATTTATTTTTTAAAGGATGCTTTATAATAATAGTTAGATGCCGAGGGTAGCTCTTCGTGCATATTCAGAGCTTAATATTGTCTGATGTTATCTGTTATCTTTTTTATTGCCATCATTATTGTTGCTATCATTGTCACTATCACCATCATTATTATCATCATCACCACCATGATAATCCCAAGCATGACCACCACAAACATCATCATCACCACAGACAACACATCACCATTATCATCAAAACCCCACGACCATCACTGGCATCATCCTCATCACCATCATTGTCATTTTCATCAACATCACCAGTCTCATCATCACCATCTCAAACAGCACCCCAAAAAAGGAAAAATAAAAATAAATAAACAGCACTACCATCACCATCATCATCATCACACTCAACACATCATCACGAATATCGTAACTGTTACTGACATCCTCATGTCCATCATCATCATAGTCAGCACCACCACCACCATTATCACCAACAGCATCACTATCATCATCGTCATCATAATCACCATAAACAGCACCACCACCACCATCATCATCACACTCAACATATCATGATTAATATCATAACCACCACCACGATCATCATCATCATCACATAAACAGAAGCTCACTGAGGGCAGACATGTTTTTATTGGTTTTATTTTCCTTGTTGTATCCCTAGGGTCTGGTACACTATAGGTGGCCAATTAATTTTTTTGGTTCACTCACTATCACTAGACTTACTATGATCTTCTATCTTTATTTGAATGAAAATGGCACAGATGTTTACATTCATCAGGCATGCTCTAACAGATGCCATTGACTGGTACTTACTTGTGGGGCTGGGGACGGGGGATGGTGTCCCTGAGATTCCAAGGTCCACTGTGGAAGTCCAAGGAGCTGAGAAAAAGTCCTCATCAGTGAAAGCAGGAAGTACTCTCATGACAGAAATGGCAAGAGGGGAGACTATGGGGTCTGCTGCCTGTGTGACTAGAGATGGGTCTTTCTTTGGAGCTGGGGCAGAGCAGAGCTTGAGTAACTGCTGTCCTCCTATCTCCTTTGCTGAAGAAGAGGACCTATGGGTTTACGAGGAGGGGTAGCTCCTGTTCTGTTTGGTATAGAATCGGGGCATGTGGACATGACTTAAATACTCACTGCTGGTGGTGGGCACAGAGCTCCGATAGGTGAAACCTGCATAGAGAAGGAGGCAGGAGAGTGCGTAAGGGTTAAGGAGACGTTGGCGACCAAATAGGGGTCAAGGCTACCCTGGTGCAAAGGAATGAATTTCATCGTACAGGGGCATTTGAAGATTTCCTATCAGCATCCTCACATCAGGAAAGAATGCCCTGAGGGAATATATCCACAGTGATAAAGAAACTATGAAGTCCAGACCTTAGTCATCCCATGTAAAACACATGACAGAATTTTCAATTGCCAGGCAGGAAGCGTGACCTCTAGTTAGAGATTAGAGGCTGCTCAGCAAGAAGGAAGAGACTTCAACCACATCACAACCACTCACCATTGACATAGAGACTGTTCCTGTCCAGGGTGTAGGGGCCCAGCTCTTTGATGCCATTGGTCATCTGGCTCAGCTCCCAGTACAGCTGCTCCCTGTCCAGTCCAGGGCTTTGAGGGGTAAGGCGGTGGGTACAGATGGCATCCACTCCAGTGGCTGCCCCATCCTTCTCAGACCTGGGGAAGGTAGGTGGGGAGAATGACAATGAAAAGATTACCTAGGACGGGTCTTGAGATTGCTGAGAGAAGGATGGCAAGTAACCAGAGGAAATGAGGAACCTGGCAAAGAGGTGAGAAGCCACACTTAGATTCTCTGAGTGCGCAGACTACTGGCTTGTTGGGACTGTGAGCAAAGTCATGAACACAACAGTTTTGATAAAAGTGCAAGGTGAGGCTGGGCACGGTGGCTCACGCCTGTAATCCCAGCACTTTGGGAGGCCGGGGCAGGTGGATCACCTGAGGTTAGGAGTTCGAGACCAGCCTGACCAACATGGAGAAACTCTGTCTCTGCTAAAAATACCAAATTAGCCGGGTGTGGTGGCCCGTGCCTGTAATCCCAGCTACTTGGGAGGCTGAGGCAGGAGAATCGCTTGAACCTGGGAGACAGAGGTTGTGGTGAGCCAAGATCATGTGATTGCACTCCAGCCTGGGCAACAAGAGTGAAATTCTGTCTCAAAAAAAAAAAAAAAAAAAAAATGCAAGGTGAATCCTGCATTCTCATGGCATGGGGACAGGAGAGCCCAGATTTGAGGCCAGTGAAGAGCTGGAAATGAGGATGAAAGCACGTGACTGAGGCATGATTGTCTTGAGAGAAATCCTGGAGACAGAATTTAAGAACTAAATGAAAGGGAGGGGCAGGGAAAGGAGGAAATTCAGAGGGATGACTGGGGTAGGGGCTCAATCCTGATGATGGACCATGCAGATTCTCTCTGTTGAGGTGGGGTGTGGGGGTGTTACTATCAGGAGATACAGTGGTCCTGAAGCCAGTGACTCCTGAATCCCATCCTTGGTGAGGATATCCCTAGGAAGCGCAGCAAAGAAGCAGTGCAAAGTCTTTTGGACTGAGAATAATTGGGACAGCCAGGCTGGCTATTCTAGCCTCACCTGAGGGAGATCAGCCTGCAGCCAGAGTACAGAGGGCTGACACTGGAGTTCTTGAACAACGGACCAAGCTGTGGAAGAGGGAGAGAGAGGTGAGTAGGAGGGCTAAGGTCCCTGTGTGTGGGTGCAGAAATAAGGTGAGCGAGGCATGGCCCAGTGGGTGAGGCTGGCTTCAGTGGGCATGGCTGGCCTCAGTGGGCGAGTCTTGCATCTCTTGGGGCAAGGACGAGGTGGGTACATTCTTCTCCCATTACCCTGGCTTGGATGTTGTAGGAGGCACTGAGTATCTGGGTCAGGGCAGAGTGAGGAGGACGGGGCACTAACCAGACCCTGCAGGACCCTCTCTGTGGTGTTGAACTTCCTGGAGCCAGGGTGATGCATGTCCTCCCCATACTGCAGATTGGTGATGGTGAAGTTGAGGGTGAACGGCACCAGGAGAGGAACAGCTGCTGTAGTGGGAATTGAAAATAAATACTGTGCTCAAATTAGACAAAATAGGAGTTTGCAATATACTTATCTTTAAATACAGGCAGCATTTCAATTGACTGACAAAGTAAATATTTACCATGCCTCCCTTGTCTTCAATGACAGAATTTATGTCTTAAAGGATATTATATAAAATAGTAGTTAGATGCTGAGCGCAGCTCTTGGTTCATATTCAGTGCTCAATATTGTCTGATGTTACCTGTTATCTTTATTACTGCCATTATCATCCTTGCTATCATTGTCACAATCACAATCATTATTATTATCACCACCACCATAATAGTCTCCACCATGACCACGACAAACATCATCACCACCACACTCAATACGTCACTATTATCATCATAACCCCATGACTATCTCTGGCATCATCTTCATCACCATCATTGTTATTGTCATCAACATCACCAGTTTCATCATCACCATCATCAACAGCACCACCACCACCATCATCCTCACTCACATCATAACCGTCACTGACATCATCCTCATATCCATCATCATCGTGGTCGGCAACGTCAACACCATTATCATCAGCATCACTATCATCATCATCATCATCATCATCATCATCATTATCAAAAGCATCACTACCACCATCATCAACAGCATTACCATCATGGTCATCATCATAATCATGATCATGATCATCCTCATCATCATCAACAACTAGCACCACCACCACTATCATCAACACATGAATAAAAAAGCTCACTGAGGGCAGAGACACTTTTACTGGTTTTGTTTTCCTTGCTGTATCCCTTGGGTGTGGTACACAGTAGGTGGCCAACAAGTATTTTTGGTCCACTCACTATTACCAGATGTACTGTACTTTTCCATCTTTATTTGAGTGAAAATGGCAGAGATGTTCACACTCATCAGGCATGCTATAATAGAGATGTCATTGACTGGTACTTACCTGTGGGGCTGAGGAGGAAGGATGGAGTCCCTGAGGTTCCAAGCTCCACTGTGGAAGTCCCAGGAGCTGAGGAAAAGTCCGCATCAGTGAAAGCAGAAAACACTCTCATGGCAGAAATGGCAAGACAGGGGACTATTATGAGGTCTGCTGCATGTGGGCTTCAGCTGGGTCTGTCTTTGGAGCTGAGGCAGAGGGAAGCTTCAATAACTTCAGCCTTCCCAGCTCCTTTGCTCATGAGGAGGACTTATGGGTTTATAAGGAGGGGCAGCTCCTGCTTTGCTTGGTGTTGTATCAGGGGCATGTGGACATGAGTTGAATACTCACTGGTGGGGGCCACAGAGCTCCAATGGGTGAAACCTGCATGGAGAAGGAGGGAAGAAATTGTGTAAGGATTCAGGAGATGTGGGGGACGCAATAGGGTTCATGGCTATCCTGGTGCCATGGGACAGGGACCATTAAAGATTTCCTATCAGCATCCTCATAACAGAGAAGAATGCCCTGAGGGAATGCAGTTCACGATGACGAAGAAACCATGAAGTCCAGAACTTAGTCACCCCATATAGAGCACATAACAGAATTTTCAACAGCCAGGCGGAGAGTGTGCCCGCAAGCCAGAGATTAGAGTCCTCCCAGCAGGGAGGAAGAGACTCCAACCACACCACATCTGCTCACCATTGACATAGAGACTGTTCCTGTCCAGGGTGTAGGGCCCCAGCTCTTTGATGCCATGGGTCAGCTGGCTCAGCTCCCAGTACAGCTGCTCTCTGTTGAGTCCAGGGCTTTTGGGGTCAAGACGGTGGGTGCAGATGGCATCCACTCCAGTGGCTGCCCCATTCTTCTCAGGCCTGGGGAAGGTAGGTGAAAGGAATGCAATCAAAAGATTAACTACGAAGGGTTTTGAGATTTCTGAGGGAAGGACAGCAAGGAACCAGAGGAAATGAGAAGCCTGGGAAAGAGGTGAGAAATCACAGTTTCTCTGAGTGCACCAACCACTGGTTTGCTTTGAACTGCAAGCAGGGTAATGAATACAAGAATTTTTATAAAAGTGCAAAGTGGCCTGGCACAGTGGCTCACACCTGCAATCCCAGCACTTTGGGAGGCCAAGGCGGGCAGATCACTTGAGGTCAGGAGTTCAAGACTAGCCTGGTCAACATGGTGAAACCCAGTCTCTATGAAAAATACAAAAATTAGCTGAGTATAGTAGCGGGTGCCTGCAATCCCAGCTACTCGAGAGGCTAAGGCAGGAGAATCACTTGAACATGGAAGGCAGAGGTTGCAGTGAGCTGAGACCAGTCTGGTGTGCAGTGAGACTACGTTTCAACAATGAAATAATAAAATAAAATAAAATAGTGCAAGTTGAAACCTGCATTCTCATGGCATGGGGACAGAGACGCCAGACTTGAGACCAATGAAGAGCTGGAAATGGAGATGAAAGCCTGTGGATGAGGCACGATCGTCTTGAGAGAAATCCTGGGGACAGAATTTAAGACCTAAAGGAAAGGGAGGTGCAGGGACAGGAGGGAATTCAGAGGGATGATCAAGGTAGAGGCTCAATCCTCATGACGAACCACGCAGATTCTCCCTGTTGAGGTGGCGTGTGGGGGTACTATCAGAAAACACATTGGTCATGAAGTCAGTGACTCCTGAATTCCACCTCTGGTGAGGATATCCCTAGGAAGTGCAGCAAGGAAGCAGTGCAAAGTCTACTGGAGTGAGAACAAGTGGGGCACCCAGGCTTGATCTTCTAACGTCTCACCTGAGCAAGGTCAGTCTGCAGCCAGAGTACAGAGGGCCGACACTGGTGTTGTTGAACACGGGACCAAGCTGTGGAGGAGGGAGAGGGAGGTGAGTAGGAGGGCTAAGTTGCATGCTGGCTTCAATGGGCATAGCTTGCATCTCCTAGGGCAAGGGTGAGGTGGGTGTGATCTTCTTCCATGGCCTGGCATGGATGATGTAGGAGGTACTGACTGTCTGGGGTGGGGCAGAGTGAGGAGGGTGGGGCACTAACCAGACCCTGCAGGACCCTCTCTGTGGTGTTGAACTTCCTGGACCCTGGGTGATGCATGTCCTCCTCGTACTGCAGGTTGGTGATGGTGAAGTTGAGGGTGAATGGAACCAGGAGAGGGCCAGCAGCTGTAGTGGAGGTGGGAAGCAAACACTATGTTCAAAGTAGAGAAAATAGGAGTTTGCAATAGACTTATCTTTAAACATATGCAGAATTTAAATTGAGTGACAAAATATTTACCATGCTTCCCTTGCCTATAACCATGCAATTTACTTTTACAAACATATATTATATAATAGTATTTAGTTGCTGAGCACTGCTCCTGGTGCATATTCAGTGCTCAATATTGTCTGATGTTATCTATTATCTTTATTGCCATCTTCATCCTTGCTATCATTGTCACTGTCACCATCATATTATGATCATCACTGCCATAATAATCCCCAACATAACCACCACAAACATTATCATCACCACACTCAATGCATCATCATTATCATCATAACCCCGCAACAATCACTGGCATCGTCATCATCACCATCATTGTCATTGTCATCAACATAACCACTACCAACATCAATATCATCAGTACCATGGTCACCATCATAAACAGCATCACTACAATTATCACCATCATCACACTTAACACATCATCATTACCATCATAACCTTCACAACCATCACTGACAACATCCACAAGCCCATCACCATAATCATTGGTAATATCACCACCACCATCATCAACATCATCCCACTCAACATGTCATTATTACTATCATAACCACCACCACCACCATCATCATCACATGAACACAAGCTCACTGAGGGCAGAGACGCTTTTATTGGTTTTATTTTCTTTGCTGTATCCCTAGGGTCTGGCACACTGTTGGTGGCCTATAAATTTTTTTGGTTCACTGAGTATCACTATATTTACTATGACTTTCCATCTTCATTTGAGTGAAAATGGCACAGATGTTCACATTCATCAGGCATGATCTAATAGACATGTCACTGACTGGTACTTACATGTAGGGCTGGGGAGGGAGGATGGAGTCCCTAAGGTCCCAAGTTCCACTGTGGAGGTCCCAGGAGCTGAGAAAAAGTCCTCATCAGTGAAAGCAGAAAACATTCTCATGGCAGAAATGACAAGAAGGTAGACTATTACGAGGTCTGCTGCATGTGGGCTTCAGCTGGGTCTGTCTTTGGAGCTGGGGCAGAAGGGAGCTTGAGTGACTTCTGCCTTCCCAGCTCATTTGCTCAAGAGGAGGACTTATGGGTTTAAGAGGAGGGGCCAATTCCTGCTCCACTTGATGTAGGATCAGGGGCATCTGGACATGAGTTGAATACTCACTGTTGGTGGTGGGCACAGAGGTCCGATGGGTGAAACCTGCATTGAGAAGTAGGGAAGAGACTTGTTATGGGTTAAGGAGATGTGGGAGATGCAATAGGGTTCAGGGCTATCCTGGTGCAATTAAATGAGTTTCATGGGACAGAGGCCATTAAGATTTCCTATCAGCATCCTCCCAAAAGGGAACAGTGGCCTGAGGGAATGCAGTTCACGATGAAGAAGAAACCACGAAATCTAGAACTCAGTCAGACCATGTAGAGCATATGACAGAATTTTCAGTAGGCAGGGAGGGAGCGTGACCTGAAGCCAGAGATTAGAGGTTGCACAGCAAGGAGGAAGAGATTCCTACCATATCACAGCTGCTCACCATTGACATACAAACTGTTCCTGTCCAGGGTATAGGGGCCCAGCTCTTTGATGCCATGGGTCAGCTGGCTCAGCTCCCAATACAGCTGCTCCCTGTCCACTCCAGGACTTTTGGGGTCAAGATGGTGGGTGCAGATGGCATCCACTCCAGTGGCTGCTCCATCCTTCTCGGACCTGAGGAAGGTAGGAGGGGAAATGACAATGAAAAGATTGCCTAGGACTTGTCTTGAGATTGTTGAGGGAAACATATCAAGGAACCAGAAGAAATGAGTAACCTGGGAAAGAGGTGAGAAGCCACACTTAGATTATCTGAGTACACAGACCACTGTCTTGGTTGGGACAGGAAGCAGAGTCATGGATATAATAATTTCTATAAAAGTGCAAGGTGAAACCTGCATTCTCATGGCATGGGAACAGGAGAACCCAGACTTCAGACTAGTGGTGAGCTTGAAGGCTGATGAATGTATGTGGATGAGGCATGATTATGTTGAGAGAAATCCTGGGGACAGAATTTAACTCCTAAATGAAAGGGAGGGACAGGCAAAGGAGGGAATTCAGAGGAGTGATCAGGGTGGTGCCTCATTCCTGATGGTGGATCATGAAGATTCTGCATGTTGAGGTGGGGCATGGCGGAGTCACCATCAGGAAACAACTGGTTCTCAAGTCAGTGACTCCTAAATTCTCTTTTTGGTGATGATATCCCTAGGAAGTGCTGCAAGGAGACAGTGCAAAGTCTTTTGGAGTGAGAACAATTGGGGCAGAGAGGCTGCCTCTTCTAAAGTCTCACCTGAGCAAAGTCAGTCTGCAGCCAGAGTACAGAGGGCCAACACTGGTGTTCTTGAACATGGGACCAAGCTGTGGAGGAGGGAGAGGGAGGTGAGTAGGAGGGCTAAGGTGTGTGTGTGAGGGGCAGACGTCAGGTGGGCAGAGCAGGCACCAATAAGAAGGCCTGGTCTCTGAGGGCGAGGCTTGCATCTCTTGGGGGCAGAGGTAATGTTGGGGCTACCTTCTTTCATCACCTTGGCATCTATGATGTAGAAGGGACTGGATATCTGGGGCAAGGCAGAGTGAGGAGGGCAGGGCACTAACCAGACTCTGAAGGACCCTCTCCGTGGTGTTGAACTTCCTGGAGCCAGGGCGACGCATGTCCTCCTCGTACTTCAGGTTAGTGATGGTGAAGTTGAGGGTGAACGGCACCAGGAGAGGGCCAGCAGCTGTAGTGGGAATTGAAAACAAATACTGTGTTCAAAGTAGAGAAAATAGGGGTTTGGAATAGACTTATCTTTAAACATATGCAAAATTTAAATTGAGAGAAAAATATTTACCATGTCTCCCTTACCTATAATAATGCAATTTATTTTTATAAAAGTATATTATATAATAGTAGTTAAATGTTGAGCATAGCTAGTTGTGCATATTCAGTGCTCAATATTGTCTGATGTTATCTGTTATCTTTGTTATGGCCATCATCATTGTTGCTATCATTGTCATCATCACCATCATTATTATCATCATCACTATGATTATCCCCATCATGACCAACACAAACATAATCAGCAGCACACTCAACACATCATCATTATCATCATAACCACATGACCATCACTGGCATCACCCTCATCACCATCATTGTTATTGACATCAGTGTAACCACTACCAACATCAACATCATCAGTACCATGGTCACCATCATAAACAACACCACCATCATAAACAGCACCACCAACATCATCATCATCATCATCATCACACTCAGCACATCATTACCATCATAACATTCACAACCGTCACGGACAACATCCTCATGTCCATCATCATCATTGTCAGTAACATCACCACCATCATCAACAGCAGTACCACAATCATAAATCATCATCACACTCAATATGTCATTATTACTGTTACCACTACCGCCACCATCATTGTCACATAAACACAAGCTCACTGAGGGCAGAAATGTTTCTATTGCTTTTGTTTTCCTTGCTATATCCCTAGGGTCTGGAACACTGTAGGTGGCCAGTAAATATTTTTGGTTCACTCAGTATCACTAGATTTATTACGATTTTCCATTTTCATTTGACTGAACATGGCACAGATGTTTCCATTCATCAGGCATGATCTAATACAGATACCATTGGCTGGTACTTACTTGTGGGGCTGG